AACAGAATCATGTAAACACACTGTAGGCGTTAACATACAAGGTGATAGGCTATTTAGCCGATGCAGGCATAGCAAATAGTTAAGGTTACGCCTGATCAAGAACAAATCTACTGCCTAGCATCCTCCAATCTAAAGTGCTATCAGTGGGGATCGACCGGATCATTACAGCCATAATAGTGAACCGTAGATTAGATTTAACCAGCCAGCAAACATCTCAAAGATCATTCATGCCTTAACCGCGTACTATGCATGATCAAGATCGAAATAGAACAACCGATAAAACAAGATCTGTCATTCAAAGTAAGAGATATCGTGGTATAACAAAGCAAACGACGGACTAAAAAGATATGAGGCCGATCTAAATCAATCTTGACTGGGCAGGTTGATGTTGCTGCAAACTAATGACAATGAAAACATCAGCAAGATCGGTAACTTAATGAATCTACCAAAGACTGCCATTCTTAGGTAGAGCCGATAACTTGACCTTAATCTAGTTCGAGCAGTGGAGGTCGACCGGATCGATGCAGCCGTACTTGAATTAGACAAGAGTCGATAACTAACTTATACCAGAGTCATAGTGGAGGTCGATCGGATCGATGCAACCGTACGAATAGAAGTATAAGCCATGACGGTACTTACAGATGAACCGGAGGTCGGCCAGACCGATGCAGCCCTGCTCGCTGAAGAACTCGCCGAGATCTACTCTACTCCTACTCGTAAGGGGTGGTCGGAGCCGAAAAAATGAAAATGACTTGTATTTGATTGGTCGTCTCCTTTACAATATCCGGGGTTCAATATTTATACCTAGAGCCTAAACACAAATCCTACTTAAGTATGACTCGGTACAATCTTTGGTATGAAGAAAACATTCCTATCTTAAGATAACTTGGACCCTAATCTTTCCCCTTTTGTAGAGTCCGATATGTATCTTCCCGACGCCAATCGTAGCTCATCATCGTTATATGCTGACGTCATTCGAAGAGAGATGATTCCAGTGTCGCGTCCGAACCGTCTGATATCAATTCTCATGCAATCGATTCCTTGATTGACACAATCTTGGAAGCCTTCGAATTCCCGCGTTCTCCCAAATTTTGGTGTAAACAAGGCTCAAGGTGGTGCAAGACCGTGAGGAGGCGCCGAGCTCCGAGCAGGGCACCATCGGAGGCAAGCTGTTGTACATGATGCAGCGCGGCCTGCCTTCGATAAGAAGAAGAAGGAGGAAGGATCCGGTTCGTCCAGCTCCAAGGAGCGTCGCCGGCGTCCAGCGGCAACAAGAAGGAGGAGAAGGGACCTCGGGGCTATGTCGGCGCTGATGGCGCCGCCGCCGGTGAGCGCAAGGCGACCAAAGATGACACCTGCAACAACTGTGGTAGGACTAGCCACTGGGCCAAGGACTGCCGCCTTCGTCCATGCCATGGTGGGCAGGCTCACGTCACGCAAGCAGAGGAGCAGGATGCCACCCTGTTCCTAGCGCACGGGTGCATCGAGCTACAGCAAGACACAGGGGAGGGGGTGAAAGGTCCAAGCTTTCCCCATTCTGGGTCGGCTGGCTCCGCCGAACTCCACCTTGATGAACCGCGCACCCACGCCTTCATCGGCAAAGGTGCCACCGATGACAAGATCGACGGCGGTACCTTGACACCAGTGCGATGCACCACATAACTGGTCGAAGCGAGTTCTTCTCTGAGTTGGACTCCGGCGTGAAGGGCTCCGTCAAGTTCGGTGATGCCTCCGCTGTCGAGATCAAGGGCGTCGGCTCGGTCATGTTCAAGGCCAAGATGGGGAGCACCGTCTTCTCACCAGGGTGTAGTACATCAGGGCCTTGAAGAAGTCCATCAGCGTTGGGCAGCTGGACGAGAATGGCTCGCGGGTGGAGATTGAGGACGGCGTGCTGCGCATCTGGATGCCTACTACGATGATGAGCCTCTACGATACTGCACCATGGCAAGCTTCCTCGGTGACTAGTCTTCACCGGACCAGCTCGAGAGGCTCTTCGCCCAGCTTCATCTGATGATGCCGGTGAGCCGACCACTTAAGCTGAGGCGCAGGGTGATCCGGCATGGCGGGCAGTGATGGAGCAGGAGCTCAAGTCCATCGAGCAAAACCTCACCTGGGAGCTGGTGCCACTGCGTGATGGCCACCGCCCTATCATCCTGAAGTGGGTGTTCAAGCTCAAGAAGGACGAGCTGGGCGCGGTGATCATACACAAGGCGCGGCTGGTAGCACGCGGCTTTGTCCAGTAGGAGGGGATCGACTACGACGACGCCTTCACCCCTGTGGCGTGCATGGAGTCAGTCCATGTCCTCCTCGCGTTGGCTGCTCAAGAGGGGTGGCAAGTCCATCACATGGACGTGAAGTCCGCCTTCCTCAACGGTGACCTCAAGGAAGAGGTCTACGTGCATTAGCCACCTGGCTACGCCATCGCCGGAGAAGAGGGGAAGGTGTACCGCTTGCGCACGGCACTCTATGGCCTATGCCAAGCACCGCGTGCTTGGAACGCGAAGCTCGACGCCACACTCAAGAAGATGGGCTTCAAGCAGAGCGCGCATGAGGCGGCGGTGTACCGACGGGGCCGCGGACGCAACATTCTACTGTTCGGCATCTACGTCGATGATCTCATCATCACCGGCACTAAAGAGGAGAAGGTGTAGGTGCTCAAGGCATAGATGAAGAAGGTGTTCGACATGAGCGACCTCGGCCTCCTCTGCTTCTACCTCCGCGTTGAAGTGCGCCAGGACGCCACCGGGATCGCCCTCTGCCAAACCCACTACACCAAGCTCATCCTCGAGCTCGGCGGCATGACAGGCTGCAATCTGGCCCACACCCTGATGGAGGAGAAGCTCAAGCTGAGTCGGGAGAGCATGGCGGAGGAGGTCGATCCAACCCATTACCGGCGGCTGATCGGGAGCTTGCGCTACCTGGTCCATACACGGCCGGACATCGCGTTTGCCGTCGGGTACATGAGCCGGTTCATGGAGCGGCCGACGATGGAGCATCTGCAGGCCGTCAAGCGAATCCTGCGCTACGTGGAGGGCATACTTGACTACGATCTTCACTACGGAAGGGCCCCTAACATGGTGCGGTTCGTCGGCTACTGCGACAGCGACCTCGCCGGCGATGTGGATACCAGCAAGAGCATAACCGGGACGATGTTCTTCCTTGGTGATTGCTTGTTCAACTGGTAGTCCCTCAAGCAGAAGGTGGTGGCCCTCTCAAGCCGTGAAGCGGAGTACATCGCCACCACCACTGCCGCAACACAGGTGTTGTGGCTGTCAAGAATGTTGGCAGAGCTCCTTGACAGGAAGGTGGATGTGGTTGAGCTGAAGGTGAATAGCAAGTCCGCACTTGCTTTGGCCAAAAACCCTATCTTTCATGAAAGAAGACATCACAACCGCATCAAGTACCACTTCATCAGAGATTGCTTGAAGGATAGGAGCATCAATGCCAGCCACATTGCCACTACTGATCAGCTAGCGGACATTCTCACCAAGTCGCTGGGGAAGTCCAAGTTACAAGAGATGAGGGAGAGGATTGGGCTACAGCAGATCACCACTAGTGCTCGGCACAAGGCTTAGGGAGAGATTGACAGATAAGTCTAGTGCTCTAGTGCCAAAGCACTTGTATCTTACTTTTTCTGCACTTTTTACTTTTCTTGGCTTCCAAGCCTAGAGTTAGAAATATGCTTAGTATCCACTCTAGTGGTTAGAATATGCTGTAGCAAGTGGGAGTCCCTTTTGTCTATTAAAGGCAAGGGAGTGTCATTGTAAAAAAATAAGTCATTGCATTGCCATTCAATCCAAGCGACCAATGGCCAATCTGTCCTCTGATAGTTCCAGATCTAAATCTAAGATCCAATCGGACAAACAAGTATATCTTTCAACACAACAGTTTGATCAGCAAACTGATTGTTCACCTTAAAATGCAGGCACCATATGATCCCTGTCGTATCGTACGCACCCTCAGTTGCTGCAGACACTGGGGAGATTGCCCGACGAAATACACGAGCATGGACAGCAAGACGGAGGTGGTCTCGTAGCCTGCTAAAAGCGAGTCCAGCACGAAGGTGACCTTGTCATCGTGGGACAGCTCGCTATTTGTGATGAGCCCGTCTATGAAAGCAGACTTCCTAAATGACCCATCATCGCCCTTCCACCTCTCGTCCATAATCTCTTCCAAAGTGAGAGATATCTTCCTCCTCGCCTGCTGATAATAGTTCATAAGACTAAATTAAGAGAAGTAAAACTATGGTTTGAGTGGAACAATCCCATTTTAGATAGAGTGGAGCATCATGAGTTCATCCCTCAAATTTGATGGAATAACTACATTCCTCGTACTTATAGGGAACTGCTATATTTAAAGTGACTGAATTTTTAGGAATTTTCAGATAACAATTAAAAGAACAACCCAGAAGGAACAATTAGAAATTTTTATATAAGAACAATGACAAAATTGCCTGCCTGAACAATGAACAATAACTAAGAAAAATCATACTATAGTTAAGATATTTGACCACGGATATACTTACTATAGTTACGCACCTCTACAGCTCTGGCATACGGTGTCCCTGGGATGTTGAGAGGGAGAGAGACGAGCCCCTTCATGAAGGTGGAGTAGTGCTCGAGGAGCCTGCGGATGAGCGGCGCCTCCGGGGACAAGCCCACCACCTGCTCCACGATGGCGCCGAATGCAAACTGCATGCCAAGTGCCGGCCAAACATGCATACAAACAACCCAGAGTCAATTCAAGCCAGAAAGAGAGACACGCTAACTCAGAGCTTTGGGATATGATAGAATCTAGGAGTATAGAAAGACCACGCGTGCAGTGCAGTGTGCCAGTGTGCAGACAAAACATGCACACGAGCGGCTACAGCGCAGTGCTGTCCCTTGTCACACGGGATCTTGTCTGGCCGGCCACCGATCTGGAGACCTTGTACAGCCACAGGAGCTAACGCGCCTGCGCAAAGGCTAGCTTAGGGACGGAGAGAGCTGCTGGGACGTCACCTGTTTTGCCTCGTCGCAGAAGGCAGCGGCGCAGCGGCCGCGCCAGGACGCGACGACGGCGCGCGCGGCCCGGTCGACGTCGGCGAGGTAGGCGGGCCGCAGCCCCGTGGAGGCGACGAAGGCCAGCGCCATGCCGCGGATCCGGCGGTGGCGCTCGCCCGTGACCACCAGGAGGGAGGACCCGCCCAGGATGCCGCGGATCGGGCCCGGGTAGCTGCACTGGAACAGCCGCTCCTCGTTCTGCAGCACGAAGTGGTTGAGCTCCTCGTCGCACGACACCACCGTCGGCGCGCCGAACAGGTGTGACTTGAACACCGCGCCGTACCTGCATGCCGGCCGAGCACGGTGGCGCGACAGCGGCAGCGGCGTATGCGTGCCGGCCGCGTGGGAAACGAGAGACCATCATGAGCAACGAAGGACGCATGTACTACTCTGGAACCAATTTAACGATAGATGCTGACTGACTACTAGATAGAATTATTAACGTCCATGCATGTGCATGGTGACGAACTTAACGAACCTGGTGATGTGACTGTGCAAGAAGTCGCCGGTGGTGTTGGAGGCGTGGGGGCGGAGGAAGCCGATGGTCTCACCGACGAGGGGCCAGCCGAAGCTGCCCCTTGGGGCGTCGGGGTTGCGGAGCAGCGGCAGGAAGTGGCGGTACACCACCGCGGCGAGGACGACGGCTACAAAGACAGCCAACAGCACAGTCGTCACCATTGTACACCTTCTAGATGTACAAGTCAAAATAAACGCGGAACTCTAAGATTATCTTGTTGGTGTGACAGAATTGCGGGGAGGGGATGAGACCCCGGCCCTTTTTATACGCGTATCGTATGCACGCTTTTTGGCTGGCTAACTAATGCTATTTACTCAAAAGGAATCCTTGAGTTTTTACCCTGCAACCTCTACTTATACTATGGCTTATTTCTGGAGATATATCTACACATATATTATACTACATATTTAATTGATTGTATGGCTTACTTCAGTAGATATATCTACATATTATTTGCAACCTCTACTTATACTATGGCTTATTTCTGGAGATATATCTACACATATATATTATAGTATATATTGATTGATTGTATGGCTTACTTCAGGAGATATATCTATATATTATAGGAGTATATTGCTTGCTTGATATACTCCACATGTTCCATAGCGTACTACGCTAATGGGTCACATGGGTAACGCTGCTGCTTTTTTTTTTTTTTTTGAGGAAAGCAACCTGGAGCACTTTATTAATTTGCAAACACCATTACATTAGAAGCTAATGAGTCGCGTTGCCTGCGCTGCCATGGCTTCCGCCATGTCGCCAAGGACGGCAAGCGGCCAAGGCATGCTGCGACGTCAGCGGCGAAGGGCATCGACTGGCCACAACACTCCACTCGTGGCGGCAACCCACCGGCTCCCAGCACGCGCCTCGCGACGGCTCGAATGGGGCCGTGCTAGATGCCGCGGGGGGTGCCGGCAGAAGCCGCCGCCGACAATGGTGGCGCCAGAGTAAGCGGGATTTTAGCTTGGGCGCGCCTGTTGACTGCGCTGACCACGCTGCTCCAACTACTGCTGCACTCTACTTCCTCGAGCCTGATACGCTGGGGTCGGACTGTGCGTGAGCGTCGAGGCTCCCACGTGGGTCGACCCTATGCTAGAGGAGCTCGCCGCCTCACTTGTCGTGAGTCGCCTAGCAGGAGCAAAGGCGGCTGGGTGCCCATCGGCTTCGGCGACAGTCGCTCAGGAAGACACATCCCGGGTGGACACCTGCTCTCCAGTGAAGGAGCTCGCTACCATACTCGTCGTGAGCCCCCTAGCATGAGCACCAGGACCTGAGTGCTCGCCTGCTCCGACGGCGGCCTCTTAGGAAGCAGACGCATCGCTGGTGGACACCCGTCCTCTGGCGAAGACTGCCTAGTGGACAACGGAGACGCCTCCGTTGCCGCCTATGCAGATGCCAGGGCGCTCCCTGACCCAGCGCTGATGAAATGTCCTAATATGGCTAGAGGGGGTGAATAGCCTAATAAAAACTCTACAAAATCGCTGGAGCAATTTGTTAGTACCCTAAACGGTGAAATACAATTTTGCTCTAGCTCTACAAGGGTTGCAAGCCACCTACCCAACAATTCTAGTTGCTATGATCACTAATTCACACATAAGCCTAGGTTGCTACTTGCTAAGCTAGTTAGCACTCAAAGCTAACTAAATAGCCTCACTAACCAAACTAACAAGCTCTCACAACTAGCTACACTAAAGAGCTTGACACTAGGCAAGAAAGTAAAGAAAGTAATACATGAGAGAGTAGGATGATTATACCGTCATGGCAAGTATGATGAACCAATCAATATGAATGCCAATCAATTACCGGGAGAAATCCAATCACAAGATGACACACGATTTTTCTTCCGAGGTTCACGTGCTTGCCGGCACGCTGGTCCCTGTTGTGTCAACCAACACTTGGTGGTTCGACGGCTAAAAGGTATCACACACCTAGCCAACAGTTGGCACCGCAAAAACCTACCCACAAGTGAGGTAACTCAATGACACGAGCAATCCACTAGAGTTAACTTTCGGCTCTCCACCGGGGAAGGTACAAGACCCCTCACAAATCACCGGGAGACGGCCACGAACAATCATCAACTCGTGCCGGCTCCTAGCCGTCTAGATGGCGGCAACCACCAAAAGTAACAAGAGATCCGTAGCCACAATGATCCCAAAGTGCCACTAGATGCAATCACTCAAGTAAATGCACTAGGAATCACTCACAATCTTGGGCTCCTGATCGACGACACGCTAGAGCTCGGGCCTTGGCTCCTGCCCGGCCTACGACGCCAGCTAAGGCCTAGGCGTAAGAAGACAAACCCTGAGCCATCGAGGCTCGGGGGCTCGCAGACACTGCGCTACGGGCGTAGCCGCGCCGACCACTTTCACGATAGGGTCACGCACGGGGCGTGACACAAGAAGACAAGCTTCCCACAGCCTCCAAGGGCTGGGCGGCTCCTGGGCCCGCACATCAGCCCCTAGAGCCGATCTCCTTCACCACCAAGAAGACTCCAGAAGGTCCACTTGGGGGAGGCTGGTCCAAGCCGACACAGCCTAACACGTAGAGTGTCAGAACAGAGCAACCGGACGACACCAATGCTTCTTCGGCTCCACGACACCGCCACGGTCCACAGAGCACCGTTGTATGACCCTCTTGGACTCTGACGCAGGTAGACCATAGACTCATCTCCCCAAACCGCCATGTACCTAACCTATCTCGTTATATAAGGGATAAGGTCAAACCTAGGAGAGAGGGGGGAGAGGAACCCAAGACATTCCATTCCATTCCATTTGATCCACTCCTGCTCAGCACCGAGAGCAGAGCAACATAGAGGAGGGGCACCGAGAGCTCCTCCATCGCGTGGTGAGGCAACCTTAGGATTAGCATCGAGCTAACCCCCTACTAAATCTCTCTCTACACTCTGTTGTAACCCCCGATTTTGGGTGCTTTTGAGTATAAGGATCATCAGCTGCTGGACGTATGGCATCGATTGTCCAGAACCAAGATAAACCGTTGAGTCCTCTCTGTGATTTATGTGTTCTTGAGTCCACCCGAGCCACCGGAGACCCATACTCTGACACCGACTCGAACAACTATGCTTGCCGCGGTTCCGACCCCGCGACAGGTCCTATGTGTCATAATGTCTCTTGTTCTTCTCTATGAAAACAGGAACTCGGCCACAGCAAGCCATGCGGACTAGGGCGTCGCGTCCGACCGGGGAGGGCAACCGAGCAGGGCCCCTTCGAACCGGGAGGAGAGGCCAGCGGGGAGTGTTGCGCCCCCTCCCGCGCTGGGGAGGAGAGCCGCGCCGGGGAGGGGGCTCGCGTCGACCAAGGCACCTGCCGTGTCAGAGAGTGTCCAGCCATGGAGGGGGCTCATGTCGGGGAGCGCTCGCCGCTCTAGGGAAGCCCGCACCGCGGAGCGCACGCCGCGCTCACGCTCGATGGCTGGTGCTGGCGGGGAAGAAGACCGGCCAAGGCGGATGCAGCTAGAGACCTGGATCCAGCGGAGGAAAGCACCAGCCGCGGTGGAGGAAGGTCGGCCTTGGCGGAGGACCTCCCAATCCGGCCGATGGGAGGTCCGGCGATGGGCCTGTGGCGCCGACGGTGGTGTGGATGGAGGCCGGTGGCCACGAGGTGTGGGAGGAAGACGCGCGCCTACAAGAGAAAAATGGTCTAGTAGATTTTTTGGTAGCCACCTTTAGGCCAACAGGAATGGATAGTGGGAGGGGGAATTTGGGTAGCCAACCAATCTGGGAGGCCTAGTACATAGTCTGCTTGAGTGGATTTTTTGCCCTCCAATACCTAAATTGGAGATAGGTAATGGGATAGGTAGTGTTGCTGAAGATGCTCTAAGATTCATAACTAACCAAGCAGCTGTGTCAACAAGTGTGTCAGCCTTATCTCATTGATAGAGTGGGATGGCAGAAAACCAAACACACTCAAAATCATCCTATTATAGTAAATTAAACGTCCATCTAGCTCATCTAATCACACTTCTCTCCATTCTATTTAGGTTATTTAGACTACCTCTTTTTGTTACTGTTAAATTATATTTAATAAAATATTTAGGGCCTAAATGACATGGTTTTACCTCCTTTTACTGTTTAAATGCTATTTCAATGGTCTTTGAGGTTAACATTGATTTTTAGTAATGATATGGATGTGCATAATCTAAAAAAATATGCCATTATGCAAATTAGGGTACTTTAATTGTTTTCATAATGGCATAGATTTGGTTCTGTTAGGTTGTTTTCCTAGGATGGAGATAACTAACTTAGATAAAAAAAAATGAAGGGTTACTTTATATTATTTATCATATTTGACATTGATGAGTAATGATTTTGATGAAGATTAGGTGTAGTTTTAGATTATTTTTCATAATAATAGGGGATACTATTATAATCAAGATATATATTCAGTTGTTCATTAATTTAGGAATTTTTATAAGGTGAAGGTGGGTAAATTTTTGAAAAGATTTAGATCTAGTAGCTTATTATTGATGCTGATGATTAGGGTCTATAGAATTGATGACGGGAGGTTTATGAGAATTTGTAGGATTTATATATTTTTCTTAGATCATTTCATATGAATCTACACGGACGCTTCGAAACATTTCTCCTGTTATTAATAGTAAGTTGGACGATGACACGCGATGATATGACTAACTGGTTATAACGGAAATGCTAGATAAATTCCTTCATTTTATGGTTTTGCTGGATTGGTTTGTGCTCTATCCATCAACAAATGTTAGTACTTCTAGGGTTTTTAGGACACTTTTAAACGGGATAGGATTTTTTTTTAAAAAAACTCAACTATCCGTCGTTAAAGCTAAATGGCTAGCTTCGTATGACGCAACCCGCTAGTTGGTGCAAAACTGCAAATTGCTCGTGAATGGTGCAACGAGACAGATATGTGTAAAGTTAAGGGGAGGACAGACCATTTCCTTCTGTTAGACGTGCTAAATATCCCTTATCGGTGACAGATCAACAACGTGTTGCCCAGCAGTCGGCCACAGGTCACGCACTATATATCATTTGAATCGAGCAAATACATGACGTACGTGGGTTTTGTTTGAACATCTTGCATATTCCTTGACACAATGCAATTTGAATCGAGCAAATAAATAGTGTAGGTGGATTTTATTTGAACCGTCAAAGGTCCGTTCGAGAAATAAA